CCCCCCCCCCCCCCCCCCCCCGAAGAGAGAAGGGTGAATTCCTAGCGTCCGAAATGACGCAGCAACGGAAAGCATATCCACTTTCTGAAGTAAAACAGATGGTGGCATAGCGTCATACATTCAGCCACGTTTTTGCGCTGTTGGTGAACTTACGCCCTCTGCGGGAACACACGTGGCGCATGTCTAAGGCCGCCCCTGCCTCTTAGGATTAAAAGCGTAGCAAGGATGAACCGGATGGACTACGCGACCCTCCTCTCGTAGAATTCACGCCGTAGCAGAAAAACCCATAGGCAACAAAATAAGCATCTCCTTAGCTGGATAGCATGCTTTTAAGTGTCCACCAGCGCTCTTGGGCACGCCACTGCTCGAAAGTGTCACGTCAAGTTGGGTCAGGGACTGAGATCATTTTTATAATGCCAATTTGGACCGATCCCGGACGATACGACACGAAAGGCTGACCTGACCATGAGACCAAGCACGGGTTAGGTCAACCCTATCACCCTTTATCCCCCAAAACATTAAACTTGAACCTCCTCCCCACTGATCAGAGGTCTCATGAGACTTCTATCGCTGCGGAAGTACAAGAAGCGGTACTAATGCGTCTTCAGAATACTTCCCGCTTCTGCCTCTGCAGGGAGGAGGGTGAATCGAATAGAAAGCAAGTTCAATTTTATTCTCCTTATATACCGATATGTGTCACGTCGTAGGCTAGCTTAGGCCAGGCTGAGGCTTGGATGGTGGAGTTCGTTCAGCATCGCGGCCCGACCCCGGGTACATCTGTGAGTGGCAAGGTGTTTGAAATTCACCCCTTTGAATACTCATGAATTATAATTTTAAGATTTATAAAATCCCCGATTCAGAAGAAAAGGCAGGTAAATTCTCAAAGTACAAGTACAATTGTACAAGCATTTTGGTTACATTGGATTCCCACTTTCTGTCTACTCAAATGGAAGATGGCCTATGGTTTATCTTTAGCCTTTTAAGAGAAACTTCTTCTGCGGTTGTTACTGGTATTCATATTTCCCCTGTTTAAAAGAAACGTCAAAAAGAGGAACTTACAAGAAAAAGACAAAAAGAAGAAGACGTTCATGGCGTTCATGTCAGCCAAAATTAAGGAGGAATATGTAGAGAAACTTGAGACATTTTCTTGTCCGCCTGTCCTGAAAACAAGAGTAATGCTGACATCCGCTTGAAAATAGTTGAAGATCGCATCCGCCCTGGGTCAGTAGTTGCGGCTGACTTCTGGCGTGGATGCACGAACTTGGGGGAGGCTGGGAACACCTCACAGTCGATCATTTCCACATCTTCGTCGGCTCGTATGGTGAAACACAAATGATTATCAGCGAGTATGTTTTTGACTCAGGCCAATTTTCTTGCAAACTGGCTTAAAACGAAGAAAGTTGTCACTTTAATTAAATAATGAATAAAATTAGATGTCATTCAGTTGGATGTTAGGAAACTTCGTATTGAGTCATGGATAACCTCTTATATCTATAAGCAAGGATTGAAGTATCTGATACTAAAGGTGAAACATAGGATTAAAGATGAGGGCAGAAATCTCCATGCTGTGGTAGAAGCCCATAAGGAATTTATTGAGCTAGAACTTGCAGAGAATTAATTACATGCTGCTGTCTTATTCTTATTCTTAAATAGTCGCATTCTTAAATTTAGATGCTTATTCGTGCCAACGAGAAAGAGTGTGTTGCCCCTAGGCTGTCATAGGTTCTGCAGTTGCATTAGGCGAGGAATTACAAATGATGACATGGTGCTATGTCAGAAGCTGCATGATGTAAGAATGGAAACGCCTTCCCGGCCGATGGACTCCCCAAGCCAAGGGGACCTGGCATACTTTACTTGTTACGCCACACTTCATACTATACCGTGACAGATTGTTAAATATTTTCATTGAATGAGGATCGTTAATACGAGTGAGCTGCCACATGCAAACGGATTCTCAAGACTTCCAAACATTTCTTTTCACGCATATACAGGACGTCCCAGCAGGAAATAACTAATTGTATTCATCGAATGCACTAAACATACACATGGTTTTAGAATAAAATTACATGGGAAGGGAGTGATAGATTTTGAAGTTTTGTCTAATATCCAATGCCTCAATACACTTCTGGAGGCGTGTAACAAACTTTTATACAAATTCCAAGTGAAGCACTTTGAACACTAGTGGAGCTGCCATCTCATCGCCACTAGTGTTCGTATCGGATCCGCCCATAATTGTTGAGACGATGCTCCAGCATCGATTTCCTCTTCCATCCCTTCCGCATCCGTCAACTATAATATGTCTACAGTGATTAGAAGCGATGACAGCGGCCTGGATCCCATCATCACTGACCACCTTTCTTGCGTGATGCCGACAAAATCGGTTCTGGGTGACGGCGTTGCCCAGCAACCGCAGAGTGGTACGTGTATTACTTTCCTCCTTTAATCCCCGATCGCTCTCACAGCTACCTAGAAACTACGGCTGAAGATTTCACAGGAGAGTATAAGATGACCCATGCAATCTACCCAATTTCGATTTCAGAGCAAAATGCAGCGTGATTACTCCCCCTCTACCGCCTCGATGCGACTTCGTCTTGCTCTCGTTCGTAAGGCGATGAAAGGAGAATCCCAATGGTGACGGCGAAGTTGATGACGGTGAAGAAGTAGAGAAAGAATCGATCCAAGACGTAAGAAACGGTTCTCCAATTCTCCAGCTCCACCTGACGGGCGTGTCGATTCCCTCCGTTTTCCATCTCCAATTCCCGCTTCTCCCGGGTTTCCATCAGGGAAAGGATCCGACTCAGGGTCAAGTCCGTGTCTGCAAAAAATGAAAACGCTTGTATGATACCAGTTTGCCATGGATCGATTCGTGGACGTGTAATTAACGGTTTTGGTTGTTCGATTTCATTATTGAATTCAAAGTTTCGAGTATAGCTTTGGCATCATTCAGGTATAGACGGCCGGTTTTCGTTCTGGAAGCTAATTGATTGCAGTCTTCATGAAATCGAACATTTCTATAAAGTACGACCAGAAGTAACGAACAGTTAAGTTTCATTCTGTTTTACCTCTTCAGCTTATGGCTGTACCTAGGCTTTCACAAATGGGAAAGAAGAAGCCCCTAAGAGGATTTTAGAAATGCACGGTGACGTTCGGAATGATCCATGCAGCATAGATGCGTACCTGTGATCGGCTCCTTCCGGACTGGTTCGATTTGCCTCCGATAAGAATGACGTCGACTCGAAGCCATCATTTCTTGAAAGAGGAAGGGAGCTGGTATCCCGTCGGCCCATGCCATCGTCCCTTCTTCCTTCCCGATCGCTCCCGCCTTCATCTGCGGGTGCTTCACAAGGCAACGTCCGCACGCGTGCATAATCATTCAAACGTTGGACGAGATGGAAGAAGATAAGAAAAACGAACAATTCGAAATCTCGGCTCCTTCATGCAGCACACTTTCGCCAACACCTGACACATTCTCTTGACCCAAGGGAGCACTCGGACGCCCTTCAAGTGATAGAGGAACAAGGTGACGATG